GACAGTATAACACCAGGGTCTACGAGAGGAGACCAATAACTCGAAAGAAAAAAAGAGGAGAGTTCCACGGGCCGTACATAGACAGATCACCCGAAGTACGGCCAACCAAGGAAAGGAGCTGGAATCGTGGGTAGATTAGTTGCAAAGCTCGGGGGGGGCTCTGTTTTAATTCAGTTTTCAATTAAAATGGGTCATTTAGAATCTGTAGAGGGTGTGAGAGCGCAGCACAGCAGCAGCAGCAGCCGGGGAGAAGCGGGCTGGAAACTGTTCCTGCAGCCCCCCCTCCGTAGTCACTGCTGTGAGGGTCTCAGACTCACAGGCAGACACATGCAGAGATCCAGGGTGATGCACATGGCTTTTCTACCCAGCAATAAGTCTCCGAAAGGCGGGGAAAAGTGGCGAGAGTAGAGGGGGTGAGAGCACAGCACAGAAGCAGCAGCCGGGGAGGAGCGGGCTGCGAGACAGAAAGCGCACACCCAGACGAGAGGACAGGCTGCTTCATCTCACACTATTACCCAGGAGCTGGAATCGTGGGTTCATTGAGTGTTAAAAGTGCATTTAACTGTTTTAATTCAACAGGACGGAAGTCTGTCCATTTCGTTAACATTTGACTCACGAAATGTACAAGAAGGTAAAAACAGCAGAGTTGCTGCTGTTAGGATCTCAGACTCACAGGCACACACACACATGCAGAGATCCAGGGTGATACACATGGCTTTTCTACCCGCAGCAGCAGGCAGAGAGGAGGGAGCAGCTCTGCGAGACGCCCCCACAGAGCGCACCCAGAGAACAGGCTTCACAGCACTTTACAAGCCAGGAAAAGTGATTGAATCCTGGGTATACATGTTTTAAATAGTCTGATACCTCCGGGGCGCATCACCACATTTTACAAGCCAGGGAAGGTGCATGGGTAAACATTGTTTAATTGTTTAAGTGTTTTTAAATGTGTGGAACAGTGTTTTGTCACTTTCAAAACTCTCCCGCCATTGACCGGAGAAATTGGGTCGATGTTGTATTCAATCTGACCGTTAATATTCCAGTGAGACGAAGTACGTACAATGACCGGAGTGATCCCATGTTCATTTTGTCCCAAAACCGGAGCATTCCCTCACCCATTCGAGTCGATTGTGATCTATAAAGGGAAACCGGCGTAGGGAGTGCCGTACGCACTTTCCTCGCCGGTACGCAATGTTTGGTGAATCGGAAAATGTCTGAAAATGTATGTACCTATTTTTGCGATTTCTACTACGTAAGCAACCTTCCCACGTGAATCCTATGCACGGCGTTATACATGAGGCCCCAGGACTTAATCCTCCAACTTAGTCATTTTTTTAAATGATTTTTTTCTGCGCATCTTTCAATGTTCCTCCGTTATGATCATCATGTTTTTTATTCCTTTTTACACACTATTTTCTACGCTACAGATTCTCTTGTCTTCTACATCTCTTCAGGAGCTTTTCTCTTATAAATTACCAAATGTCTTGTCACATTTTTAGACAGTCTCCTTGTGAGTGATGAAAGTTTTGATCACAGATTATCAGATTCTCTTCACCCTGTTTGTATTCCCTGGAGAGAAATACAAAACCATATGACAGGAAAATCTAAAGTCTTTACTTGCAATGTAACTTCCTTTCTGCTTTACACAAAATGCTCCCTCTTGTTAAATGCCTATTGTAACATTCCTGCTTGGCAAAATGAGATTCAATGAAAGGAGAATAGCCAGAGGGGAAAAGGTTGCTGAATGCAGGGCGAGAAAAGGAAGAACATCGAGCAGCTAAACTCTTTTTTTCATGGTCCAATGTCATGGACATGTACCACATAACTCTGTGTGGTGATTTCCTGTGAGACAAGCAGTCCCATCTCAAGGGCATTGTTTTTCTTTCCTTTATGGGTTGCATGAAAAACGTCCCTTCTCCCCCGCTGTGCCCCAGTACACCGTGTGTGACCCACATAAAACAGTCAAAAAGCCCCAGCCTATGTGCTTACTGTTTGTACACACATCATATGTCACACCACACTGAGTGTCATCATCTCATGGTGGGGACATCAACTTCCTCTGTGGGAGCAGCTCTGCAGTATAATGTGTGGGACGCATCATCCCTCAGCCGCAGCACCAACATCAGACCCCCACAATCCCTCAGTGTGAAAAAGGGATCTGTCAGTTCCTCTAAAACATGCACTGTGAAGTCTTTTATGTAATAAACTACATCTTACTGACACCATGTGTGACTGTTTGCTCTGAATATATTAATCCTAAAACATCAGTGTATCTCCACATTTCTTATTCAAGATCAGCCTTCCAGGAACTCAGAACTAGCCTCAGTGTTACTTGGATGAAAATGTATTTTTTACATTATTAACAAATCATTGGGGGGATTTTGCGACTGTAGTTTGTCAAATAAACTTCTCACATGCAATCCTACAGTATCCAAAAACCAGGAAATGATTACAGATACCTTGTGAACCCAAGGGTTTTTAACAAACTATAAAATAAATTAAACAATAAAAGAGGTAAAAAAAAATCTTTGTATTGCCAGTGGTGGAAAGTAACGGGGGTTACATATTGTAACCCATAAGCCCAGGCGGAGCCCTCTACTGGACTCTATGGGTACTACATCTAAACCATACTATGCAAGCATTCACCTACTGAGATATCTATAAACGTAGCCGGCCCCTCGGGGCGGGCCTACCTGAATGCGTTCGCAAGCCCACCGTATATAAGGCAGCCACGCCTCCTGACTGTCATCCTACACCCTCTTCAGCGAGCGGCATACGACAGACAGGGCCCCAAGAAGAGGGCTCTGTCTGTGCTTATATAACTAGGGTTACAATATGTAACCCCCCGTTATATCTTACACAGGCTCCGCCCTCTACTGGACTTATTGGGTATAGTGGGTGGAGCCCTGATGCATAAACGCCCTGTCGTCCAACAACATCGACCCATCACACTGCCCCTGACCGGCTTTTGGTTAACAGCCACTACAGCGCAACTTCTTCTCCTCCGGCTGTGACCATGGAGAAGTCGGGCCGCAGTTTACTTGGCTGGTAGAGCACACTCAGATACGCTTACCTCGTGAAGAGTGTGCATGGAAATTAGTGAGGAAGGGTGTCCCCGCCTGTCCATCCAGCCCTGCATGGGGCTTACTGTGCACCATGTTCGCCAGGTCCCTAAGGAGCATGGGGAGAACGTAAGTGCATTATGTCTAGGGGGGGGGGGG